TATGAGTATGATGAGTAGTATATGAGTATCGTTTTGATCAGATCTAAAATGTTTTTGTTTGTTTTTTCATTTTAATTATTCAGTGATAATTAGCAGCCATTCACAAAATGGAGTTGCATAATTAACACGTTATCTCGTTTGTTGTTATTCTAAACAGCTTCGGGTTGTGACACTGGTTGTATCATTGGTGTTAGCATCGCAGCCGTATTTGTCTTTATTATTATTATAACACTCATTTGCATTTGCAAATGTAGAACACATAGTCGTAAGTATTTTCTGTTAGTTAAACATCACAGTGGTAAAAACACAGCAAAACATTTATGAAATAGAGATTATAAGTATTTATGTTGAAAATAACAATATTGGAAACATTTAACTAATTATCTGTCTTCCTATTTTCTTTTCAAGCCACGCCCACACCTGAGTAAGTAATGCTTATTTCTTTGACATGATATATTATACATATGATAACGTGGTAAAGTTTGTTCTAAAATGTTTAGTAAAATTATCCATATTAATTCAAATTTATATATGGGCATAATCTCTTTGAATTTATGAAATTATGATTAAGCTACTAATTTGAAATGCCAATCAATCCTTTCTGTGAATTAGAATTCTCACGTTTGCAATAAAGCACGGAAAATGGACTTGAATCATGGACTGATTTGACCTGCCACTCAATCATTTTTGTGAAATAGAATTCTCACAGTTTGTAATAAATCATGAAAAACGGACTCGAATCAAGGACTGATTTGTAAATGTATTACCGTGTGTTTGTTTTGGGTTATCTACAAAAGTCCAACATCATTAAACTGAGAAGCACGTACTGAAATTATAAAAATATCATTCGTTTTTTGTTGGACCAGAAACATATTGAATGATTATGTTAAAACATTTTTTTTTTGGAATAATAGATTCGTGACATTGGTAATCTGGTGAATAATTCATATTTCTTGTCGGAGTGAGCATAGTTACATTATGCATAGTTTCAACCCAGTCATATATAAGCAGTTTTCGGTGTATAGGCTGTCTGAGCAAATTTCTGTTTTACAGCTTATACATAATTGATCGGCGGAACTAGTGTTCTTATTTTAATAAATTTGTTTCATTCAGGGAAAGGAGCTCGAACCAAGAAATATCAGTTATTTCGAAGAATGAGCAGGTATTGTACTGAGAGTGAATATGACGGTGATGGTACCATGCGTTATTAATTAGTCTAACGTAATATTAATTATGCTGGCTTATTTGCAGCTCAGGTTTACCATTTCTCACATAGTTGTTTTATTCTACAAAATATGGAATCTTATTATCGTAGGAAAAACAACAAGAAAGCCTTTGCTTTAGACTTTTTAAAGCGTGGTGTAAACAAAACTAGCGTCACTTCTGAAGTCATTCATCTTGAGATTAACTGCTTTAAATAGCTGGGCTATCATGTGATGAAGTCGATGAGCAGATTTTAACACTTTTTAATAAAATAATGTGCAGTTTGTTCTGAGAACGAGTAGTGTTATGCTTGTCTTGAGAACTGCCAGTTGATTTGTCAATGGAAGGTTAAAATTATACCAACATAAAAATATCTGGCAGGTTCACAAATTGTCTAGCTTTATTCAGTATATTTTATGCAAATTGAGGGTCTTGTGTGCTTTATGTATATGACTGTATCCTCGGGCGGACATCCGGGTATTTTTACCGCCTGGCAACCCTCGCGGTGAAAACAAAGACCAAAAACTCGCGGAAAACTGTACTTTGCGATGGTTGTTGAGAGTCCCCTGAACAGTGTAACAAGATTAGCCCTACGTGTGTAACATATATAAATTTGGTTGTTCGGGATTACTTCAAAGTTGAGTTTGTGTTGTTTTCTCGAGTTTACACCGGCTCCACCAGCGTTCCACAGCAGCGCGCACAAAGCCCATAGAAATACGTGGTAAAGTAGTGCGCGTCTTAGCAACGTAGAACGTCCGTGACGTAGTTTCGCCCCCGAGGATAATAAAATGTGTTGTTTTGTTTTTCAGAATACTGGTGGGAGACAAGTGGTAATGCATATGCAAGAACGTTATAGTACTCGAGACGCTCAACATTCCCGTGAAATCACAATGATGGGAAATCCAGAAGATGTTAAAGATGTATTACAACATACACCACAACTGAATCGTCGTAGCTGGGGAAACGCAAAAATGATAATGGCAAGTCAACATTCGGATGAAGACTAAAAAAAGTTTTAACTAGAAGGATGATCACCAAAAAAATCAGCCAAATGTCAGCCAAGAAAATTATGACTGTTTCGATATGGAGATGAAACGCATATCACACTCAGTGACGGCATATGTCTTAAAAATAATATTGAAATGATTAGTTTTAATGAATAGACCATTTTCCGTTCACTGCGAGAATCACGCGTTATGCGTGAAATCGAACGTGAAAACAGGACAAACAAAGGTCATAGCGTCGTAGTGGCGTCAAACATCGCGTGAGATTCGACAAACGCGAAAGTATTGTGGGGGACAATTCCATGTCAATAATGTGCTGTACACATTTGATGATGGGCAATTTCGATTAAGTGAGGATATTCGAATGCAATATTCCTCTGTCAAAGATCGGCCGGTCGATGTGAGCTACGAAATAAAGAAATTCGAGTTCAAAATCAAATCGTTCGATTTTTGCGGCAGACGTTCGAAGCGCGTCTTTCATGCATCTCGCGAGATCTCGCAGTTGTACGGAAAATCACCTATTCGGAACACAGTTGAAACGTGTTGAGCGGTAAGCCCACGTTATTGTCTGAATAATATTAACCCCCATCCAGATGACAAATTATGACGTTTAAGTCATGATATAGTTTGATTGTCCAAACGGGCGTATTATAATCCCAATATTACTTGTACTCTCGAAACGAATAATATGGATATTATGATGAACCAAAATGTGATGGCCTGAATGTTTCAGTGTGATATTACGGTATTTAAGCAGTAAAGCAGATGTGTTCCTGGTTTCTGAGTGCCAGTGTCAGGAAATGGTGGAAATTGAATAATGATTTGTAGTTAACACTACGGGGAGTGTGTCTGTCCTACACTACTTTCTTGTAAAACATATACAAATACAAGGACAAAACTTGAATATTCATATATTTGGTCATTGTGTGGGTCAAAGGATTCAGTTAAAATTTTATAAGAAACAAGATTAGCTTTCCTGAAACCCAAATTTAAAATTTAATAATGATTCAAAAAAGGGGGAGACTTACCAGAATATCTATCATTGAAAAGCTTTGTATTAAGTGTTAATCCCCTAAGGATCTGGACCAGGTTGTAAAAACGAATCAGGTTACATCCGTACTTTCTTAACTAAGTTAAGCGTTCACGCTCGTTTTCTTAGCACGGACGCTTTTAACATCTTGTATTGTAAGCTTTTTTGTTTGGTATATATTGGTTTTTGACAACACCCCCACCCAAAAAAAATCTGCTTTTCGTCCTATGATAAAGTGAAAAATTATGCGGTGACGCGGTTTTTATTCTTTTATTTACTTGTTTGTATTAAAATATTCAATATCAGGTTTAAAATACACGCGCGCGTTGAAGAGAAATAAAACGTTTATTTTTAAAATTATATACGAAATGTTCATACTGTCATAACTTGAGGCAAACGTGCACGAATTTGACTAGACGCTTCCAGTGTCTATTTATTAATAGATTAATTAATGTATTTTTATTTAATTAATTAAAGGCTCCATGTGTCCATATTTTTGCAAATATTACTGCGTGAATTGAAGCACCATAAGCAGACGCGCGCCACTTGGAAATAAACATGAATAAACACTACTATGTACGCCCGTGTGTGTGTTTATCCATGTTTATTTCCAATTAATTAATTAGATTGATTAATTAATTAATTAATTAATTAGATTGATTTGTGCAGTATTTTTTGTGAAGAAAGGTTAGTTCACGGATGACCTATATTAGTACCACAGCCAAGCGTGCTTGAACTTATTGTTGTGACCGATAAGCAGATAACCTCTGTATTATGTCACGACGATAGTAAGAAGAAGGAGTCAACACACAGAGGTACCGTTTATATAACTGTCCCTTTTAGTAGGTCACCACGAAAGGCATTCGATAAAAACAAGTAATTAAGCTAATAAGTCATTATACACTGCAGTTAATATATAAAGCACACAAACACAATAGATGACACTACACCATGACCTCGCCCTTAAAATTGTACTGAGTATAGAGTGGTACGACCGTACGGTGAACGAAACGGTACGAGTGGAAATAAAGCTTCAAAATACCGTTGTTTCTCATTTGCATATAGACAGTGAAAATACCGATTATATTGTTATGGTTGAGACGAAGTAAACTGCAGTACATATGCAATAAAACAGAGTATTCGCAGTGTATACATAATCTTCCAGGATCAGAGCAAACAATGGAATTTTTTTTATTTCAATGCACGAATTTGGCTGGGTACAAACAACGTTAATACGAAGGTCCCTCGGTCATCTCATATATATTTACACGTACAAGTACATAAGTATATGTGAGTACTTGTTCCGGGTACAAGGTTCATTTCGTTGGCGAAAACAGCGCAAACCTTGCGTATTTCTGTTTTCTTAGCAAGGTTATCCCAACGTCCGTGGTTTATGAAGTGTATATTTGTAAGACTGTAAATATCAACGCGTGAATGACTCTCGTGCTGATATTAACTGATAGATATACCGTTCAGCAACGTTATATTGGTGAGTACGCTGGAAAGGCGAACACACGGAAGTGGCACTCGCGATATTAGCGGGCACTAACGATTGTCCACCTTCAAATGGTGACAATTTTTATTCTACCGTTGTGACCCAGATGACGCATATACTGACTATGTATTGCTTATATTTCACACTGTTAATGGGTAAGAACTTTATTGTTGTTATTAATTTTGTTGTCTATATTTTTCATGAACTTACAGCAAAGATGATTACTCGGGGTAATATCGCGATAACAGAAAAGTAGAATATGAACAATAACAATATGTTATGATTATATACAACATCGAGCAGCAGTGTCAGGGGTAAGCGTTGCTTCGAGAGTGTTTTAGGGAAATACAAGCTGTAAACAATACAATATCGTCTGTAACGCCATTTTGTGTTGATGGCTATGAGTTTTCGTCAGATACAATTACAGGAAGTTCAAACTTCATAAACATAAATGCTACATATGCTACATTACATATAGTTACACCACGTTTTACCTCGCAATTTCAACAGAGGACAGTTTTAATATACAATCACTTGCCCGCATTTACTAAAAGGGTACTCTTACAGTTACAGTACAGTACAGTGATTTTTGATTTATGGATAAATAAAACGAAATTACATTAACGAACGTGACTGATAACTTTTACTATGAAAACCTTAGCATCCCGTTGGCAGGCCAGTCACACTGGTTCTCACTACAAGAGGTTACGATCCCCCTGCCAAATGCTAAGGAAAACTGAAACGTATATATACATATTTACATAAAATATTGTCCACCTATGCGGATCTGTTGGTGCAAGTTTTTTATGACCGTATGCCCTTACTGACGTCAACCAAACATTTTATGTGGGAAGTTGGCACCCAAGGCTGACAGGTACTACACCTTGCCCAAGGGTTACCTGGAGGTTGCTGAAGCAAAGGGTAACCCCATTCTCCCAAGTACAAAAACTCCACAACCGGATGCAGTTTTAACTTCATGCCCAGGACTTTGACAAGTTGACAAACAGAAGTGTGAAAACGACTTCTGAACCATAACAGTTTTCACAATTGGATTTGTAATTTTCCATTTTCTAAGGAACAAAGAGCGTCATTTGTAGTCCAAATGTATTCGAACCTGTCCTCCTGTTTCACAAGTTTGAAGTACTGGTACTCAGATTTAATTCTGCTGGTGATGCGAGTACAGCACACACGTGTATCAGGCGTAACAAGTACAATCGACTTCTCAGAAGAGAACAACAGCATTATAGATAGTATACTATATGCAAATTAACAGTCATTTCAAATGTGTGTACTATGTACACCCGTGTGTGTGTTTATCCATGTTTATTTCCAAGTGGCGCGCGTCTGCTTATGGTGCTTCAATTCACGCAGTAATATTTGCAAACAAATCTGATTGAAATTCGGGTTTCGATAACTTAATAGTTCTAATTCATTTAGCCGATTCAGGCTCTCAATGCCCGCCATGTCCTACGATGGAACCTGAAAATTAGCAGCTACCCGATAACGCAATGAGTGTTACTGCTGCATGCCCATTCACACGATCAATTAGTTTTTGGCATGCCATACTTATACCGCCAAGTTGAAAATAAAATACGCTCACTTATGAATTCCAATGAATAAAGCTATATTTACGTTAGACATACAAAAAATCAAAATAACACGGTCGGCAATAAACCGCGATTTCTGATTTATTTATTTGATAAAAGTTTACGTTGCTTGGGGTTCTACAAAAGGGTAAGGTATATACGTTATCCCTTTTTACTCCTGGCTACGCAGACCAGTATAAATCAAGTTGCAACTCGTGGTTTAGATGTGGCCAAAAAGCACAGTATAACACATCACAGCACGTCTCAACATGTTTAGAGAGTCCTGGGCCGTAGTGTATGTAATAAATTATGGCACAATATGATATACACACTTGGTGAGGGTGAATTTTTAAAAAATAAAGGAATTTTAACACTATTTTTCTCTCTGAAAGCATTTTGACATTGAACTATAAACAACAAGAATTTCTAGTTCAAAATTAATTTGACGTTCGGTCTGCGCTATTCACACATTACGCGAGATCTCGCAGTGAACGGAATATTAACTATACATGAAATCACGACAAGTTAATCGACATCAACACTTATGTGAACTGTATGCTCGAGAGATTAAATGCCTCGGGGGTTGTAGATTATGTCATATATACAACCATTTGTTGTAAATTCCCGGCCGTGTGTGTGTGCGATATTTTCAAAATAAACAGTGTTGTGACCATGGTGACGTAGTAGGTGTAGTTGCTCACAATGGCTGAATCTGTATTTGTTCTAAGTGTGGCTAACTTAGAATTTTCGATCAGACGGATTTTATTGCTTACCGGACAAGTTGTCAGTTTTTTGTTCACTATTTGTTTCAGAAAACTTACCTTTTTCACCGTACGATCGACTTTATTCTTTTACAGTTGGCATGGTATGTGGTCAGTTTGACGGATCGTATATAACAGTAAGTATAACAAAATTTGAAAGCATAGCAGTCGATCGTCACGCAGTACGTCACAGTCGCCAAGTAGTACGTCACAGTCGTCAAGCAGTACGTCTTAGTCGTCAAGCAGTACGTCACAGTCGCCAAGTAGTACGTCACAGTCGCCAAGTAGTACGTCACAGTCGTCAAACAGTACGTCACAGTCGTCAGGCAGTACGTCACAGTCGCCAAGTAGTAGTACGTCACAGTCGTCAGGCAGTACGTCACAGTCGCCAAGTAGTACGTCACAGTCGTCAAGCAGTACGTCACATTCATCAAGCAGTACGTCACAGTCGTCACGCAGTACGTCACAGTCGACAAGCAGCGCTATGGCCTCCATACAGTGCTTACATTCGCCGCGAAGTGCGCCTTAGTAGTCATACTGAGCGCGTTTGAATTTTGTGTAAACAGTGTGTTATTCGCGCTCGTCGTATACGTTATGTGGGATTCATAACAGATACGAAGCGGCGTGACGACTGTGACGCTTTTAGAATATTGATGTAGCAAAAAAATAATCCATGTTCACGCAGTGTTTTTGTAAATAGTCACATATTAATAATATACGCGTATGCATTCTGATAAAGTGAACTAAAGGTCACCTTAAGTATAATTGTCGAGAACATTAGTTACCGTGGAAGCTCGATTTTCAACCGAAACTTAGTCCGGGACTGGTTTCGTTTACAGTTGGAATATTAAGAATCAATCTTAAAGGATGGCTGCTTGATACGAAAACAAAAATCTGTAGTGGACCATGACGGGAGTTAAAAGCAAAAGTAAAAGAGGGAGGGTCGTCCCCTGCGCACGCGCGGCAATTGAGTCCCAAGCAACGATAACAACACACGCTAAAACGCAAAGGTTCATGGGTAGACGCTTGTCTGTAAACAGTGACACGCTATCGCCGTCTGGGGCATACGCAGGTGACGACTTCCCCCGCTTTAAAAGTAGATTTATTGCCGCATATACATGTCTGTCAGTTTTTCGACATTTCAATATTTTGTTACAGCAAGAAAATAGTTTTATGTTGACATGGTGTGGGACAACTTAACAATGGATCAGAGTGTTTAACTGACAGAATGTAACCATGAATTAAACAAATACATCGATTATGCAATGACAACAATTCTTTCGTTTGTTATATTTTGACACTTAATACACACATTTTTTTGTTAACCGAAGTCTACTTTATACTCTCATATTGACATAACTAATTATAAAACCCGATTTTGACATTATTTCAACTGTTGTGTGCGTATTCTTGGTGACATCTTGGTATTTCACCCTCGAAACTGTACAGTGTGAACAGTGTAACAAAACTACCCCTACATGAGCAACATATATAAATTTGAGTGTGTATTTTTTTTTTCTCGACATCAGCTGTTTTCAGTTCCTCATCGGCTCGTGTATGCCCACTGAAATACATAGTGCGCTGGTGCGCGTCCAAGCAACATAGTACGTTCTGTGACGTAGCTCCGCCCCGGGAATAGGACAGAAATACAAATACTAGTACCACAGTTAATACAGTCAGTAGTTGACCAATCACAATCATGCATACAGTTTCAACCAATCATGCTTTTCGTTATAGGAAATAAATGCGACTGAAAATGTCTACGCCCCCGTGTTCAATGAATCGTATTACAACACTTCCGTAGAGGAAAATCTCGATAATGAGTGGGTGATTCAAGTGACAGCTTATGACGCAGACGATTCCTCTACGCCGGCCGGACAAATATATTATAGCATCACGGATGGGAATTACAATGGTACGTAATAAGTACAGTCGCTTAAAGCGGGCAGGTCAATCTTAAAGAATGGCTGCTTGATACGAAAACAAAAATCTGTAGTGGACCATGACGGGAGTTAAAAGCAAAAGTTAAAGAGGGAGGGTCGTCACCTGCGCACGTGCGGGAATTGAGTCCTAAGCGACAATAACAACACACCCTAAAAACGCAAAGGCTCACGGTAGACGCTTATTTGTAAACTATGACACGCTATGGCCATCTGACGCATGCGCAGGTGACGACTCACCCGCTTTAAATAATTTTAGGGAACTTAAGGTAGCGAGAAGGGAAATTTTCACTTTTTTCTTGATTTTTCAAAAATTTATAAAACGGTTACTTTAGACCTTGATACATCACCCCAGGTTTACAAAAGATCGAAATTGCGAAATAACGTTGCTCAAATTAGTGTTTTAAAACACTAGCAGAAAAAACTACAACTGCCGTTTCGTGGATATTTGCATAGTGTTTATCTTTGGAAGGAATTAAATGATAAAATCTTATCTGTATACTC